GATCCCGCTCTGCCCGATTCCTCTCGTTTTTTCCAGGTTACGCGACGTCCCCGCAGGCTGTAACGCGCCGATTCCTGTGTTTCCCGCCGCCGGGCAAGGAGCTGGGAGCATCCTATCGGGATGGGGGGCCGGCGGTCTCCGTTAGAACCGGGCGTACCGTGCCAGGCAGAGTTATGGGGTGACCTCGGGGTGTTCGAAGAAGATGAGGAGCTGGAGGGTTTCAGGAGGGAGGCGGAAGTTCTGCGTGAGAAGCTGAGGGAGGCTCTCAGGTAGGACGATACCTGGTACGGCTGGCAGGATGGGGCGCAGGATTCCTTCTCCCTCTGGCCAGGGAGGAGGCGGAGCATGATGTCCCAAAATGCGGGTGTACAGTGCCAGAACACGGGCCACAGGTGGAGCCACAGCAGGGAGGATGGGTCAGTAGGTGCCCACTAAGCAGCTTTCACCTAAAACACGAACAGCACAAATCCCCGCCTCCCTGATCAGCTAATCATGCTTGAAATGTGCCAGCAGGTGACACACATTCTTATCCAGTATCCAGTCTTCAGAGCTGTGGGCTTTCCAAGGTCGAGCTCTCAGATGACTCTCCTTGTGGTTAATCTAGCTTTGCATTCACTAGCAGGTCACACGTGCACTCTTATAAAGGAAATAGTTTATGAAGAAGAAGAGACTGCAGCAATTACCAGCAAGTGTATTGACCAGGAGTCTGTTCACACATGATCTGCACCTTCTGTCTCCCCCCACTTTTTTCCCCTTTGCTGTTCTTGGTCCACTCTGATTCACCTTGATCCTTCCTTTTGCCTGCATTTATTCCATCCCTAAAATCTGTTTCACTCACTTTCACAATCACCCTCTGACATGCTATGAGAAGTTTGCCATTTTAATGAGACCCAGGATAGTCTCAGGTGGGTTTTCTTATTATCAATAATATGGTCATCTTCTCAGGTACAAAGTTTCTAGCTGAATCTCTCAAACATCACACTAAAGCAGTTTCTTGTAATGACATTCCCATCAGCATCCCAGGAATGCTAGTGTTTGGTACTGTTTGTTGGGATTTGTGCATCTCTGTGCCTGATTGCCTCTTCTGCATTTGTCTGTTATGTTGAGTAGCTATTAAAAAGATAACCCTAAAGCTGGAGCTTTATGGTTTGCTTGTGGCCTTTCTGACAATAGAGTGCTCTCAGCATAATAAATTGCATGACAAAGCTAAGTAGGCCTAACTTCCATTTTGTACATGGAAAACAAGCAAAGCTCTGCTCATGAACTTTGGTAGCAAAGCAAAATATGGAGCCTGAGAATGACAAACCCTAGGCCTGTCTTTTAATGACCAGCTCAGCCTGCGGTGTCTTTCTCTTAATCAGTAGTGTCTCCCTTCTTTTAACTCTGTTTTTTAATAATGTCACTAATCTCCCCTTCATAATGTGTTTGTCTTAGTCACACATCTGGTAACATAAGGCAGTCCAGTTCTTTGACCGACCTCACCTCAGACAGTTCCTGGGATCAGCAAAAGCCTCACTTGTTTCCTAAGTCCCGCTTGAGGCCAAAAAGCGCTTCATCTCCCTGGATTCCTTCCATCACCATCCCTCAGCCTTTCAAAATGACCCTGCGGGAAGCTCGCAAAAAGTCCGAGTTGCTGAAGTCATACATGTTCCTTGAACTAGACACACACAGAGACAAAAGGCAAAGCCAGGATGAAGCTGAATGCCAGAAACAATTCCGGGCACAGCCTGTACCTGCCCATGTGTTTCTGCCCCTTTATCAGGAAATAATGGAGCAGAATGAGATTCGCAGGCAAGCAGCAACACAGAAAAGAAAGGAGCTGCTACTTTCAACGCAGCGGCCCTTCAGTTTTGTGGAGAAGGAAGAGAAAAAGAAAGAAGCTATCAGACAAAAATTCCTGGCAGCAGCAACCCCAAACGAGAGCTCCAAACAGAAGCAAGCCAGTAAAAAAGTTCCTAAATCTACTTATGACTCACTTCTTGGAGATAAACTGAAAGGTAACATGCCAGGGCTCTTTCTGTAAAAGCACCTCCCTGCCTGTCCCTTGCTGTCTCCATGCTGGGAGGTAAGATCATGGCTTGCAGGGCACCACTTGGAGCCTAAGGCCAATGTCCCCTGGTGGTGGTGAGTCTCCTGTGTGTCTCACTGGTCATTACATTTTGTTTAAAAACCCTTGCAGTAGAGTGCCCTAAGTTCAGTAGTGTATGAATGTCAGCATCAGCAGTTCTATTCCACTCCCCAGAAAACATGGGCACATTGAGCTCTACAGACAGATTTCCATATCCACTTTGCTGGCGATTGTGACAGTCTGGGAATCTTTCCCTGCACTGGATTCCACACCTTTGGTTACACTAAAGGGACTGAGATGATTTGTAGCACAAACATGAAGACAGATGTAGTGCCACAGGTCTCCAAGGCCCATGCAGTATCTTAGATCTGACAATTTTACTCCTACCCAAGTGATCCATACTGCACAGAGTCCCTAGGAGAGGAGACAAGTATTTCCTGAACCCAAATCAGGCAATTAGTTTGGTTCTAAGTGATGGTGTAGTAGTCCAGTCTCTCCTGCCATTCTCTGATGTTTCCAGTGGCCTTCCCACTTGCACTCAGTTGGCTCAAACTTCCCTTGCTAAAACAGGGAAAGCAGGTGCCAGGACCATTCTAGTCAGGGCAGCCAAGGAAATGTTACTGATGCTTGCCTGCTTTCAGATGGCTTAAGCCGCTGCAGTTGAAAGTTTGAAGTAAGCAATTCAGACTTCATGCTTGAATGTGGGAACTAAGTCAGTCCTTAATAATTCTCATGGCTTTTCTCATTCTTTTCTCCTTTTTTACTGTTTCTGTGATTTCTTCTTGAGGATACACCAGTTCAGTTTTCATCAAAAAACATTCTGTTTTAACCTAAATAGATTAGAAAGGTAAAAAGCAGCAAAGGACAAGCCATTGTTCTATTTCTGTCTGGCATATGAGAAGGGAGGAGAAATTAACATTTCATACTTCAGGCAATGAATACCTATGAATTAACTCAAAACCATCTTATTTTGCAAACAGCAGTATTGACTTTTTTCCCTAAAAGCAAAAAAAACCAACCCTCAGCCAACTGTCTGCATTTTCATAAATATTTAGTGCTGCACAGGGAAGGACTTCCATTTGATGCTATAATCTAAAACATATTCTATGAAAGTTTGTCACAAAAGTCACAAAACGTGATGTATCCATGAAATGTTCCTTACTTAAAAACTTTTCCAATATAGACAATTACTGCTGGAGATTACATAGAAAAGCCATCATTTGTTACAAGTATACTTGAATGACACATTTGTATCACACAGTCAATATGTCTGTAAGTCCCATATAAAAAGTATGGGACTAGTATGGAAGATTAACATTTCTGCAAGACAAAGGAGACAAGGGGCACAAGTTACCTGGTACCTTTAAGAATAGGAGAAGTCCTTCTCAGTTATTGCTCCAATGAGTAAAAGAGATATATAGAAATGAATGCGTATGAAAGAGACCCTACTGTGGTTTTACTGGCACGTTTGAATTATTTTTCCCTGGGAGGCAGAGAAGAGGGGGGCTGAAAAAGGGGGGAAGGAGAGCACAGGATGTTTGGTCTCTCCTATATCTGTAGCTGTCATCATAATGGAAAGTTTAGACTTGGGCAGTGGCAGTTTCACAGCCTTTTATGTCACTCACACTGTTCTCATTGCTTTCCTTTTGATCCTTTAGAAGCTGAACTCTGCAGGGAAATCCGCATTCAAATGAGAGCAAAGGATTTGCTGGAGAGCTCCGTGGCTCCTATAGACACCAGCAACTGTCGGAGGGAGCCTCAGTCCCGAACTGCCACCAGAACTAAGCAGGAAAAACTTGGCTTCTTACAGGACACAAGCTTCAGCTTCAAACCACAGATTAATCCAGCAATACCAGACTTTGAAGAACTTTACTGGGCGTTTCAGAGGAAAACAATGAGGAGACAAGAAATCAAAGAGCCAACTCGTAATAAGCCATTCAAGCTGAGAACCTCCAATCTCCATGCCAGGCAGAGGCAGGCTAATGAAAAGATAAAGGTGAGATAGCTGGATATTTCTGTGGTACTGCTTTCTCTTATCAAGATACCAACTTCTCAAGTTTATAGCATTTAATTATTAATGGTTAACATCCTGTGACATCTGCCCTTGTATTAAGAGTACTGCAGAATTCTAGGCCAAACAAGAGAACAAAATTCTACACAAAATGAGCTATGACAGCTAAGGCTCAGTCACCCTTTCATAGCTCTAATCATGTCTCCTTACCCTTGTCCCTCAGCCCATCCACATGTAAATCTCTGCTGATGGAAGAGAGAAGAGTGAGTGCATTCTCACATAGCCCAGCTGTTCTCTTTGGTAGGCAAATAACGGAGGAGATTCTGTACTAGCAACTGTCTGTGAACAAATACACTCAATAAAGTTTCATTTCTTTCAGGATTCTCAGAAGCTTTCCAAGGTTTCAGTGCAAAAAAGTCACTCTCTGCCTGGACTTTCCTCTCTCTCTTCCAACACCCTTCCTGTGCATATTACAGATGCAACTAGAAAGAGGGAATCAGCTATTAGGTAGGTAGAAAGT